ATATATATATATATGCACTAAGTTCCTTTCAAAATGGCTTTTTGAAAAGGTGAAATTATGTTCCAGCTTTCCATCACTGCAGATGTTTTGACTGGAACGTTCAGAGGCAGCGATGAGGAACAGGATCAAGCTTACATTTGTCACAATGAAACATTTAGCAGAAATGGTCTCAATTGTTGTCAAAATCTGATTTAAAGACCCCATTGATGAATATTTTAGTTCCATTTAAAATTGTAGGTGGGATGTTAAACAGAGTTAAAGAGTGCAATCAGTCCTCACTCCTTGTACCTGCCCTACTTAGGTTTTTTTATATTTTCTTATGTTTTTTTCTTTGAAATGTAAGCCAATACATGCCTGTTAATCAGAGTCAGCAGAGTGAAACCTCAGAGGTGTCTGATCTGTTCTCACATTCTTCATCATCCTCTGCCTCTCTGCGCTCTCATTCGCTCTGCTAATGAAGTGGAATAGCACATACAACATCACCGTGTGTGCGCTTTGTGCGCGTGTGTTTGTGTGTTACAGGGTTGAGTTACAGTGATGTGGTTGAGAGAATTTGTGAGAGGCTCTGCTCAGATGTAAACCAAAAAAGGGGGTCTGGTGCTGTGTACAGCCACTGCAGCTGCTCTCCCACTTACAGCAGTTTACTCTACTAACACAGAAACTTTCCTCACCTCAACTTTAATGTTTTTATACCCTGTCTATCCCATAACATTTTTCCTCTTTTGTTTGTCTACCTACTATGGGGCATAAAAACTGTTTCTTGAATTATAGGCTGCTAACACACATCTGTTTTTAAAGTTCTGAGAAAATGTGCAGTTTCACACAGAATTATAAATTCATCACAGTCACTGAATGTAGAATTACTCTGGAGAAAATAGTACCAGTAGGATAAGTTCAACCCAGGTACTTCCTCAGCTGTAATTTGTACATTTGTCCAACAGAAATGGCAGTTCACCAAACAATTAATGTTACATTTTATTTTGTTTAATCTTTTAAACTTGCTTTAGATCAGTGGTTCCCAAACTTTTCAGTATTTGACCCACAAAATACTAGTAGCAGGGAACTGTATCCCCAGCTGTTGTTGCTTTATGAACATTGCTTTCACGTCAAATAAACAAGAGCATTGTAACAATATTCATTATGGTATTTTTGTCCATTTTAAATACACTAACCTTACTCTTTTGTAACAGCAAACACAAAAAATGTTGTCATTTTTAAATATAAACAAGTCAGAAAATCTTTTCAGGACCCCACCTTGATTTTTCAGGACCCCACTGTGGATCCTGAACCCAACTTTGGGAACCACTGCTTTAGATAGATTACAAACTGGAGATTTCATGTTAAAAAAGTTGTTCAAATGCTAGGAGTCTACATACCAGCCAATTATTAAATATTAAGCACAGCTCATCACATACAGAACACATCTACAGTCCTTCAGGGGAGGGGGGGTGGGACAGCTGTTTTTTGAAATTTCTCCTTATTTTCTATTTGAGTGTTCAAAAACAATGTGTAAATCGACCATATTTTTCACATAGTTTGTACTACATGTTCCAACTACTTAAATTACTTTAACTAAAAGTATATATTTTTAAATTTATATGACTCAAAATATTAGAGAACAAAGCAATGTTAAACAATGGCTGTGTCCAAAACGGCAGGACGGGTCCTCCGAAGGTCGAATTTGTCGGCCGCATATGTCACAGCGCCGCGACGAAGGACGTCCAAAACGGAAGACTCCTCCGATGCGTCCGACAAATACGTCCTTCTTTTTCCCCGAATCGAAGGACAGGTCTGATGAATCCTTCCCGGCCCAGCGTATCCCATAATGCATTG